GAGGCTAGGTAACCATAGGAGAACTCGCAGGAGGTGGGCAGCAGAGAGAGGAGGGCCATCGGGTGTCATCTGAGTCCATCTCTAACTCCTAACCACGACCCCCCCCCAAGTCTCAGCAGCACCTTAGAAAGGTCACCCAGCCCAGAGAGGGCAAAAAGCAGGCCCTTACCGGTTGTGACCAAGTAGGCCTCAGGGGCTGTGACATCGCACACATACGGTGGCCTGGCGGTGGCCAGTGCCGGGGCATCAGCGGTCACCTCGAGAGCCAAGGTGGTGACGGGGTGCAGGGACGGCGGGGGAGGGGCAGCGCTGCTCTCCTGGGCGTTCTGACTGGCAGCGTCACTCGAGGCAGGGTCTACAGCATCACCAGCAGATGTGCCCGGCACGGTGGAGGAGCTCCAGGGTATATCTGCGGGTGTGGACGCTGGGCCCTCAAGGATGGGCTCTGTGGGCAGAGGCGAGGGGCTCACTTGGGAAACAGGTGAGGACGCTGATGACAAGAACACGTCGGGGGTCAGTGCTGTGCTGGCAGGGACGACGCCGGAGAAAGAGGGCAGGCCAGAGATGCCATCTCCCACAGCGCTGACACGGTCGCCAGGAGACGTCGGAGTTGGGAAGAGCGAAGACGCAGCGGAAACGGGGGTCGCCCCATAGAAAGCAGTTGCCCATGACGTCGGGGGAGTCCCGGCAGTCGGGAGGTCAAGGCTGTGCTCAGAGCTGGCGGGCACCCACGCAGTGACCGTGGGCTCACGGGAGAGCGGTGAAAATGCGAAGTCGGAGGTAGTTTCAGTGAAAGCTGAGGTAAGATGAGCTTCAGAACCTGCCAGCGTGACTGTCGCCGCCTCAGCAAACGTGAGAGACTCAGAAGGGACGTGAGCACGGGGTGACACTTCCGAGGAGCCGGGTGGAAGGGCGGCTGTGCTCACAGGAAGGTCCGAGCCAGGCCAGGGCTGAGCAAACGCAGAGCCGGAGAGATCGGGAGCAGCGAGCTCAGCGGACTGCAGACTGCCCACGCTGGACGCTGCGACTGCCTCGGCCGGGCTGGGGACCGATGGGGACGGGGAGGCTGACAGATCGCTCGATGTCAGAGACGGAGAAGCGGGGGCTTCTGAAGACGAAGGGAAGGGACTGAGTCCCAGCGGTGGGGTTGAGAAGAAGCTGGATGCAAAAGCCAAACTACTCCCGGGTTCGTGTTCAGAAGGACTGGCAGGACGCTGGTCAGAGGGCGAAGCCTGTGCCCACGGAGCCGAACTGTAAGAAGAAAGGCCCGGGTCTCGGGTGACTGGTGACGGCGTGTCTTCCTGTGCCATGACGGAGAAAGATGAGTCCAAAACGCTGGTGATGACCAAGAAAGCCACCGTGGTGACACTGGGTGGCAGCTCTTGAGTTTCGGTGACAGAGAAGGAGCCAAAAGTAGGACCGAGTGACTCTGGCACAGAGAGGTGGCCGTGGGAGGGGGAAGCTTGTGTGGGCCAAACACCACCCACGTCCACCTCAGCCGAGATGCCCACCCTCATTTCTGAGCCTCCCAGGGGTCTCGAAGAGAGGGGGAGGAAGGGCCGGGAGGGGAAAAGCGTATTGAACTCTTGAGGCTCTTCCTCAAACTCGGGGAAGTCCGCCACCACGCTGCTCAGAGGAGAAGGGCTGCTCGCTTCCGACACAGCCGGGGACAGGGTCTCGGCGCTATCCCCTGAGCCCACGTCCTTCTCCATGAGGCTCGTGGCTGGAGCTGGCCGAGGCGACGCCACGGAACAGGACACGCACCACGTGTATGGTCTGGATGAAGACACCGAGCTCGGGACGTGAGTGTCGTCCCCCTCATGGGGGGCCCCTGAATTGCCAGGCAGTGCGGATGTTTCGCCAGAGTTGCTGGGAAGAAAAGGGTTCCGTGAAACATCCGCCGAGTGAGCAGACAAGGACACAAGTTCAGGAGTCGTGGAAAACAAAACTGAGTGCGTGAAGAACGCAAGGGCGGTACGGGCCACCGCTGCAGGGGCGGGTGTTCTCGGAGAGGAGGCTTCCTCCACACGCTCACTCCAAGCAGTGGTGGCGTCGGGGTAACCATCTGTCCTCGTGGCCGAAAACTCCTCTGGAAGCTGAGAGATCTCCCCTGAGGGGGAGAATGGCTGCTGAGTAATGCCAGGGCCTAGAAGCTGAGGCCCCAAGGACGAGGAGCTAAGAAGGAGGGTTTCTGCGTCCCCTGTTGCTGAAGCCGCCATCTCTGGCAACGTCCGGCTTGACAGCTGACTGTAAGTACCAGTAGGGTAGAGCACCAGGTTCCTACTGGGCGTGGGGAGGATGCCCTCGGAGGTGGGAAAAGCCGACCGGAAAGCGTGGAAATGACTGGGGGGCTCCACATGTGTCACCGGTTGTTGCATTGTGTGTTGCCAGGCTGCCGTCACTTCTCTAACTCGGAAAGAGACCATGGGCAGTGATGGAGTGAGCACAGGTTCTAAGGTTTCCTTGGGCAGCCCTGGGGGGCTGACTGTGAGATACTGCAGGGGAGAGACCACCTGGGGCGTGGTCCACTGAGTATCTGGCAAGAAGTTATCCATTTCATCGTCCTCGGTGGCCACCTCCTTACTTGTCACCGACACATAATTTGCCACAAAGATGCTGTGGTCTGCTGTACTTTGAGTATGCTGTCTTCCTTGGTTAAAAAAGGTTGTATCAAAAGGAGTGGCAGATGGCGAGGAGATGGCACGGAGAGCCCTGCTTGGCTGGGGCCCGGGCGCAGTTTCAGTTAAGGCCACGTGTGCAGCGCTGGGCACGGTGCTTCCCTTCAGCACGAGCTCCACGGAGTAGAGAGACAGGTCCTGCTGTTCCAGGGTGAGCGCATCTACCAAGAGAATCAAAGCCGGGTTAGCCACAAGGCAGCGCAACTCATGCCGGTAACATCTCTGTCTCAGTCACAAAAATGCACTCATTCAACAAGCATCTGTGAAAATCCACAGCTCACAGTTTGAAGTTAAACAGAGAACTGGGAACTAGAAGCTGCCGGAACCACCATCAGTACACTGTCTGCGGAGTCCAAGCCAGCACCACCCTCACCTGAGCTTGGGTGCACACGCACACACCAGCACGTTCACACCTGCTCTTCCTTACTAATAAGTCCGCTCACACCCACAGAGTCCCAGACCATGGCAACGGAAGAGGCTGAGGAGGCGGTCTGGCCAGTCTCTCTCATTGATTGCAGGAAGGAGTGTCTCGGAGAAGGGAAATCGATCAACCACGGGCTCTCCGGGACAGAGAGGAGCTGGCATCTGAATCCAGGGCTGCCCTGACTCCAACGCCACGTGTTCTCTGTCCCGGGATAAGCGCCGCGCTGCCCCTAAGAAAAGTGCAGGACAACGTGACAGCGTCACTGGCTGACTGCGAAGAGTTCATTTCCCAGATGCACTCCCAGGTGCAGCTCTGGAGGCCTCCACAGGTAAGCCCCAGCCCACCTCCGGGCTTAGCTTTCACCATTCCCTGCCCCGAGCTCAGGCTTCCCCAGCTATGCGCCGGCCTCAGCAACATTCTTCTCCACTGCCCTGGCGCCCAACCTGGATTGCTCCTGCTGTCCTTCAGCAGGAACAGAACCCCTTTCCTTGGCACTTGGAAGCTGGGCGAGTGCCTTCCCTAGGCTGCTGCCTGTCACATCCCTTATCAGATCCCTTACCAGGAAACTCTAATCCCTGGACTCTGAGTGGAGTTCAGTAAAGGAGTGGAGGCTGAAAGCGCCAGGTTCTGACAGGTGCCGATGCTCCTGCCCGAGCTCCCATCCCTAGCTTACAGGCACGCGCAACCGCGACCAGAGTATTCAGACTGGCCTGAGAACTGATCCAGGACCCCCTTGCAGATTCCAGTCTCGCGAGCGGTGTCACTCTGTTCCACCACTGCCAAGTCTATAATATGACATTAGAAAGAGTAAACGATAAATGAAGAGCTTTAAGGTCAGTATCATAGCAACATTTTTTCTTTTGGAGAGGTTTTCACTATAGGGCACGTGCGCTCGCCAGAGAGACAGACAGAGACATAGAGACAGAAAGTGAGAAATCACCCCCTGGGGGGATGGCCATGCCGCAATCCCTTCTCCTCCATTCTCCTCTCGGGATCTTGGGCATGCACGCACATGCTCCCGGCGTGAGTTTAAAGCCACCGGGTCCGGGACACGAACCGCGGTCGACCACGTGGGAGTGCAGTGACATAGCCATTATGCTAACTGCTGGTTCCCTCCATAGCAACATTTTTAAAAGGAAGAATTAGTTATTTAACTTTACTTGTCATTTTTATCACTATCTTTTTCAATTTGTTTACAGGGTATATGCACTCACCAGAGAGAAAGTGAGAAAGCAAGCCACCAAGTCCAGGACATGAACCACGGTTGGCCATGCGGGAGTCCAGCACCTTAACCACTATGCCAACTACCGGCTCTCATAGCAAGACTTTTATGCATGTGTCGTTGTCTGTATAACCTAGCTCTTTGATTCCTTGTCTAAGTGCTTTATTGTCACATTCTGAGCTTGAGTAAAAATACATACCTACCACCATGGAGAAAGCGGCTGTTCTTCTCTATAACAAAGGTTCAAAAGTTTAAGAAGTAACCAAACCATGATCCTGTCAAACTCTGTAACAATTTGAAAGCTTTCCTAAGAATAAATTAGTTTACCTGTCCTGTTTTTAAAACTTTGCTATGTTTTGTTTTGAAATATAAGATCTGACCAGGGAGCAAGATCCCCTTTAAAATTAATCAGAAATGGGGGCTGGCAGGTGCCAGTAGATGGCACGGAGGTTAGGGGCACTAGACTCCCACATGGTGGTTCGAGTCATGGACCCAGCAGCTTGCTTTCTCACTTTCCCTCTCCCTCTCTCTCTCACTCTGTCCTTCTCTGGTCAAATTAAAATTAATTAATAAATTAAATTAAATACTTCTTTTAAAAAAGAGAGAGAGAGAGAAGAGAAAGAAAGAAACAGGGGCAGACAGGTGGAGTGGTGGTTAGAGGCGCTGGACTCCCACATGGTCAACTGTGGTTCAAGTCCCAGACCTGGAGGCTTGCTTTCTCACTTTCCCTCTCTCTCTTTCTCTCTGATCAAACTGGAAAATAATAATAATTTTTCTAAAGTTAAATAAAATATTTTTTATTAAAAAAAAAAGAAAAAGAATGAATAAACAGGGGCAGACAGGTGGAGTGGTGGTTAGAGGCGCTGGACTCCCACATGGTCAACTGTGGTTCAAGTCCCAGACCTGGAGGCTTGCTTTCTCACTTTCCCTCTCTCTCTTTCTCTCTGATCAAACTGGAAAATAATAATAATTTTTCTAAAGTTAAATAAAATATTTTTTATTAAAAAAAAAAGAAAAAGAGTGAATCAGACACTTATCCGCAAGTGAGCCAGAAGACTCAAGAGATAAATAACAAAGAAGAGCAACAGGTGGTGGCTAATTGATGACCCCAGGGACCTGATGCAAGGCAAAACTGAACCAACCCTGCCTTCTAAGGACAGAGGAGCGGGGCAGGGCAAATGGCCAGAAGGACACAAATGTTCTCGGGACCAGAGAAATGCAGGGACAAAACGTCACATGGAGCACCAGGTGAAGGTGCGCCAGGCGGGGATGTGTTTTTCCTTCCGTTCTTCCTTTCTTGCATGCAAGCGCGGGCGAGAGAAAGCAGCTCTGAAGAGACAGCAGCTGCAATGCCGCGGGGAGTTACTTCTGTAGTTAATTCAGGAAGAGGTTAGAAAGCCCAGGGGAGACTCTGCCAGCGTAAAAGGCATCGGGGACTCCTAATTTCAAGCCCTAGAGATCAACTTTCCATCTCTACAGCCTTAGCTCACAAGAGAGAAAGGTTCTCTTTGACGACCGAGAGGGGAACAGGGTTGGAGTGGGACGGGTGCTTCTCAGCCTGTGACGTTTTGTATGCTGTGATGATGTTCAGGGAACAAATGTAAAATAAATTAATTTTTAAAAATAAAACACTTTTTAAAAAGAATGACATGAGGACCTTGCAGAAAGGCAGTCACTGTCCAGAAGTCTGCGGGGGACCGGGCTTCCGCGTGGCTCCTGGCAGACCCAAGTCTGCAGCCTGGTCTGACGCTCAGAAGCCGGTGCTGCAGCACCTCCCCTCACTGGGATGGCATGGCATGTGGTACTGGAGCCTATGCGACCTCGTCACGGCTAGGTTTTGGCCATGGTGAATGTCACAGCCCAGGAACTGCCCTGGCCACCAATGGATTAAAAACCAGGAGGAAGATGCCTAACCATGTCTAGGAACTGTCTTCAACTTGTGCGAGCAAGACACCGTGAAGATAATGGAATGGGTTTTTATAGTCTTGGATTCGTTCTTCTTGTTTTGTTTTTTTGGTTTTTGTTTGGTTTATTTATTTATCTGGTCAATTTTTATACCTGGAAATCGCATCGTGGGGCCTCAGTTCTTTCACAGAGCTTGGCATGAAGCTCAGCAATCAGGGTGCGTCCGTGTGTGTGCGCGTCCGTGTGTGTGTTTGCTGCTGCAGTTCTGAACCAACACCATGAGTAATTCAAATGCAATTAAAGGAGTTCTTTTTCGAAAAGTGGTGGCACAGCAAGAAACACAATGTGCTGTGCTGCTGCGGCCACGGAGAGGTCCTGGGTTCACGTCCCGAGACTCTGTGTGCACGTCAGGTGCCCATGACCTGGGGCTGGCTAATGCTGAGGACAGACTACATTGTGAAGACCTGTTAGAGATTTGCTCTCTCATGCGTGCTCTCTCTTGCTCTTCCCCCTTCATTGAAAAATAATAATAATAATAATAAATGAACTTAAAAAAAAAAAAAAAAAGAACAGTAACAACAGTGCTGGGCTAGAGCGAGGCTGATGGAGCAATCCAGAGTAGAGGAAGACAGGGAAGATGCAAAGGACGAGTGTGAACCCAGGGGCTGAGGAGGAGGAAGGAAAAGGGCTCTAGAGGACAGTGGCCTTATGGAGGAGAGAGAGAGACTGATTACACAGAACTTTACGCCTCACAGATTTCCTGGGAATTCTGACCAGAGAGTTTCTCTTCACATATTTTTTCCTATTAAAAAAACAAGTCCAGGTCTGGCTCCATGGCCTAGTGGCTAAGGGAGGCAGAACCTATGTGACAGACTGCACAGTTGAAGTCTGGGCCCCAGTGGCTTGAAAATCACACCAGGCACATGCGTGTGCATGCCCCAAATCCCAGCAGGATGGGGAGAGATGGAGAGAAGGGACTGCAGCGTGGCCACACCCCACTGGGCGGACTTTCTCCCTCTCTCCTCTCTCTGTCTCACACTAGTGAGAGTGCACGTGTCCTCTGGCAATTAAGAGTCCCAGACATCCACTAAGAGCAGGGGGTGGTGGGGAAGTGACAGGGCACACCAAGAGGGCAGAGAATGAGACTCTCTGCTCCTAGGAGGAGCATAGAAGGAGGAGCTGCCCACAGAGATGGACAGCCAAGGCCGGCTCTGCCCAGATTGACAGCCTGACCCCAGGAGGCAGGTCTCACCGTGCCCTGTGCTGCGCCCATCAGTGTCCCGGGCTGCAGGTGCACATGAGCTTAAACACAGAGCAATCCCTAACATGCTTCCCACACGGAGGAGTATCGGCCTGAGAGTGAATGAGAAGCACCTGACTGCATATGCCCGGCACTTTCAGTTCACGACTACGTGAAGACTTCTTTTTGATACCATCCTTTGTTTCTTGGCTTTTACTACGTCACAGACATTAAGATGTCTGAATTGCCCTGTGTCACCTCTTTGGTTCCTGACTTGAGAAATGCTGGGATGCAATGAAGATGGCTAGAAATGGCAGGGTGCAGGCCTTGGTTCACTACCGCCCGACCTTGTGTTGCTCACGTCATATTCCTGGGTCTCAGTTCCCCCCGTCTGCTAATACGATACAGGGCCCCTGAAAATCAGTCCCTGAAAAATGGATGTTGAAGTTTGACTTTCCAAGTAGAACTGAAATCTGATGCCGTGTATATGCTGTAAGGTTTGCAGCCGGGTTCTCTGTTGTTTGCAATAGAAAAAACTCTGGTGAAGGAGGGGGATTCAGTGGAAGGCCATGAGAGGGCCTACAGAATGTACCAGAAGGCTCAGGTGCAAAAGAGGTTCCAAACAACAGGGGCTGGCAGCTGAGAAGCCAGATGGGACTTGACACAGGGAGAGTCCGTGAGAAGATCACTGCTGGGTCTAGCCCTGAGCAGCAGCCAATGGCTCTCCACTCCTCAGAGACACTGCTTCACTCCCCCAAGATTCCAGGTTCAGGTGGGAGTGTCCAACTGGCTGAGCCTATGTCACATGCCACATTGCCCCATGCCTCAACCTTGTGGCCCTCTGACCTTCAAATGAGAAGCAATTCCCCACAAAGAGAAAGAGGTACCCCCAAGGGACAACTGGCCACCACATAAGTAGTGGGTAGCTTCTAATGGCTACTGTATTAGCTGGAAAAAATCCCAGCTAATAAAGAACACAGCTTGGGACGGCAAGTGGTACGGTGGTTAAGGTGTTGGACTTCCACATGGCTAACCACAGTTCAAATCCCAGAGCTGGAGGCTTGCGAATCACACTGGGTACACATGTGTGAGTGCCCAAAGTCCCAGGAGGAGAGTAGAGAAGGGAATCTGGCATGACCATCCCACCTGGGGGCTGATTTCTCACTGTCTCTCTCATTGTCTCTGTCTCCCTCCCTCCAGCAAGTGCACATACCTTATGACAAAAAACTTTAAAAAAAAAATAAATAAAAAAGAGCATTGCTCCATGACACAGCAGTAATGCCTGCTCAAGAGAGGCCAGGTTCCACATGGCAATCAGCCCAAATCACACCAGGCACAAAAGCATGTGCCCGAGACCATATAGGCCGGAGGACTGGAGGACGGGGATCATGGCATGACCAGCTCAGGCCATGGAGGGTGCCTCTGTGTGTGTGTGTGTCTGTCTGTCTGTCTGTCTGTCATGCACATGCATATGCTCCATCATGGATAAAGGAAACTACATTAAGAGGCGGACAGGTGCCATGGTGGTTGAGGGTGTTGGACTCCCACATGGCCAACTGTGGTTCGAGTCCTGGACCTGGCAGCTTGCTTTCTCATTTTCCCTCTCTATCTCTGTCCCTCTCTGGTCAAATTAAAAATAAATAAAAATTTAAAAAGAAGAGAAAGAAAAAAAAAAAAGAAGAAAGAACATAGCTCTTCAGTATTGGTATAATATGATCCCTTTAGAGAGGGAGTCAAAGTCTCCAGAACATTCCACAGAGAATAGAGTTGGGCACTGCTGTATCTCCAACTTCCTCAACTCCCCTGACGAAATCTCCTGTCATTAGTCACTCCATCCATTTCCTCCCCTAGAGATGGGCACAGATAACAATCAGTGACTTCACTGGAACACAAAGAGAATGCAAGTGCCACTTCAGAAAACAGCTACTGCAACCAAACAATACCGAAATAACGGTACTGTGACAAGCTTGTTAAACACTCCTACTGTTACAGTCAAAACACCAGCAGAGCCTTCATATCGGAATTCAGGGGCTCTATTTCCTGGCATGATTTTCTCATTTAAAGACAGGAGGCTATTTAAATGTTTCAGTGCAAAGCAAGGTGCAGCATATTTACTGGAAGATGTTCTGTTTCATTCCGTTTTATTCTTT